AAAAAAAAAAAAAAAGTTGCAGTTTTGTAGGCTCTTTGCTAGACATCTCTTTGGGGATTTTTGACAATTATTTTTAATAAAAATTACATATTATAAATATTGATTTGCTTTTGTTACTGTGTCTCTTGGCACATTGTGAATTAGAGGAAAAAGGGGAAGATAAAGGTATGGTGATATGTAGGGGTCATGTGAGAGGAAGATGAAGTCACAGAACATCTCTAGGGCAGGGTCTTGAAAAGATGACAAATGAAAAATTTGAGCTCCCTGAAGCTCTGAGACATTGAAGAATAAAAACTAGAAAGCTATTGCAGATTTTTTAAGTTTACCATCCCATGTGTTTCTGACCCCTAACATAGGTAGTAAACTAGGAAGCCAAGGACTCTTGCCCTCCTGTTGCATCCACAGCCCAGGCGATTAATACCAGCCATGCCCACCCTCCAGGAACCATTTCATGTAGGGAACATGTTACCAGCTTGACTAGGATCTCCTTTCAGTAGCACGGCCCTTAAGGATCATGAGGAAACCAAGGGAAGAGATATTTTGGGAGATTTTATTGATGCCCCAAGGGATTCCATTTCATAGGACTAGAATAAACATTTGCAGACTAGACCTGTTTTGTAAATATAGTCATCCCATGGGATTCATAAGTTCCATATCTGTAGATTCAGCCAACCATGGACTTAAAATATTGGGAAAAAATGTGCCAAACATGTGCAGACATTTTTTTGTCGTTATTTCCTAAACGTAGCATTTACATTGCATTTGGTATTATAAGTAATATAGTGATGAATAAAAGTATAAAATAGTGATGAATTAAAGATACGCAGAGGTTATGTGCAATACTATGCTATTATGTGAGTGACTTGAGCATCCATGGATTTGGGTATCTGCAGGGAACACAGCCACACCCATTTGTTTAATATTTTCTATGACTATTTTCTGTACAAAGACAGATGGAGGATACATGGCCTGCAAAGATAGCATTTACTATCTATCTGGGTTTTTATGTAAAACAAATTTTACCCACCCCAGGCTAAAATATTGTTCTCTACAACACTCCTAAGCTATACATTTTGAACAGGCTCTTGTAGTATAAAGAAGCACCATTCCTGTTAAAACATTTCATAGTTCTGCATTTACTTACTCTCAATGGGAAAGCAAAAAGACTCAAATTATTTCTTTTATGTAAAACTGTATTTGGTATTTTGGTTGTGGATTTTGCTTTTGAAGATTTATCACTGACTCTTACAGTAYTAAATAGTTCCTTTATACTAATGCAAGCTCTCTAATTTTATTGGGTATCAGCACATTCTGGAAGGGCATACTCGGTTCCCTGCCCAGCACTCTGGTAATTATTTTGGAGATATTTGAGCTGAGTGGTCACGTCYTCCCCCACCCCCATCTTCTTCAGCTGTGCCTCATTCATAAGGTTCAGTTTAACTTGAGGGCAGGACTTGTCATCTTCACTGCTGCTGCCTCTCACACAGGACTTGAGTGAATGAACTAATGAATGAATGAGTGAAAATACTAAGGGGAAAGTAGTTGATGATTAAGCCTGACAGACGAGAATGATAAAGATTTGTAACATTCCTTATTCAGGGAAATGATGGGATGTAATGTCAACTAGAGCAGGTTCCTCTTCTTCTTCCAGTGGGTAAAGCTGTTTATAATAAAACAGGGACAAAAAGGCCAGCTTTCAAATCAGTATTGTTGCTCTTCTGTCTGATTTGTGTACTGTTTGCTCCAGTTTTCCTGGCTTCCCTGACCCATCCAGTCATTGCTTTCCCACTGGCTACTCTGTAACATGGTGTTCTCAGACTATACCCCCCCTGAGTGCAGAGGTGTGTCTGCTTTTGCTCCACACTTCTCTTCCTTCCAAGGAATCCCAAGGCTATCCCAGTCTCTATTCCTGCTTGCTTTGGGTTGCATGCCACAACCCCCAAATCTATAAAAGATTCCCATATTCAGGGACTGTTCTACCTACAAGAAAGTAGTACCCTGTTTTTAAACAGTATATAATGTATCTTTTTAAACATTTCTTTAAAAACCCAGGTGTGTCTTCTACCTCAGCATATCAAGGCAACAGGCTTCYCTTTCCTTGAGGCTTGAATGAAAGACATTCTTCCATACATCTCAGAATACACCCGAGAGTGATACTGCTGCAGCCAGCGGGAATTTCAAGGGCAAAATTGGGAAATGGCAATGGAGTAAAGGTACTTTGTACTCACTATCTACTGAGAATGTGTAAGGGCCACAGAAAGAGGTATTCAACGTGATTTTATGTTTCCCTTAAACTCAATACCTCAGATTTATTCTTAAAAGTTGAACCGTTTTTAAAAATGTATGCCAAAATGAGACCCAGCTATGATGGATTGGCCAATTTTGAAGCCATCTAGCCACTGTCATTAGACTCACATTTTCCTATTTTGTTCAGAAGGATCTTTCAGTGTCCAGTTCCAGAAGCTAATTCTTGARTGTTATCTAAAGCTTCCCTTGACCTTCTGGTGAAGGAACCCTATTGAAAATGGAGATGAGTTTAATCAGAGAGAGGCATTTAGTCTCTGCTAACTCCTGATGGGCACTACTTTGGTGTCTGTTTACTAAAAATATTTACAGAAGCCCAGTAACCTACTCAGGGTTATTTGGGATATAAATTCATTAACATAATTTCATTTAGCAATTTCTCCATTGTTGAAAAGTGACCTTATAAGGGGAGCTTGTTGAGACATTAATCTCTCAAGCATCAGTTGGAAAAGGTTCATGTACTTTGTTGCTCTCTGCTAGTTGCTAGAAGTGCCTACTATAGGACTTTTAACAGTACAAGTCATACCTAGAAAAAAAAATAGTTCAGTTGCAGGAAGACTCTGAGGCAGGTAGAAGGATTAYAGAAGAGGAGAGCATGTGAGAGAAGAAACCAGAAAGTCTACCGTCAGGAATGTATGAGAACTTATATTTGCAGAGAAACAACATCAGGCATTTGACATCCTAGAAGAACTAGAATCCTTGAACTCTAGGAGAAGGCTTACTGCCTGGAAGGAGAAACTAGATCCACTAGGATTTATTTGCCTGTATCATATAAGTGSTATCATATAAGACACATTTGGGAGCTAGCAGTGGAGTTTGTAAATGGAACCAATGTAGGCAAGTAAGAATGAATTAGAAGAAGCCTAGAGTGTGGACTTGTATTAATACGAGATAAGCACCATCTGCTTATCTCGGTGCCAGCCCAGCCCTAACCTCCACATTTAGCATGTTTTATTTCATTTAGTCCTCGTAGTAAGCCCATGAGGACGGTATTGTTGCTGTTATTTTACAGATGAGGTAACTGAAGCTTTAAAAGGTTAATTTTCCYAAGTGGGTATTTGATGATGCTCAGACTTCCAATATGCAAATCACCTGGAGATGTTGTTTAAAAGATTCTGATTCAGAAAGTCTGTGGGGGTGTTGGTGGCTGGTTGAAGGTCTGCGTTCCTGGCATCCTCCAGGTGGTGTCTATGTACTGCACTTTAGAGAGGTGAGGGGCTAGGGCAGCACATTGGAAACTTTAAAAATAATGCCACCTGAGCCCCACCACCCTCTGAAATTGGTTCACTGGTTTGAGATACTGTCTGGCTTTCAGTGTTTTTCAGGGTCTCCAGAAGATTATGTAATACATAGCAAAGTGAGAACYTCTGGGTTCAAGAAGAGTGAAAAAGAAAAGCAGTGGCCAGATGTCATTGGCTTTGCTTGTTTCTAATGTAATCAGAGGTCATCAAGCACAAAGCAGAGGTAGGGTGTGAAGATAATTAGGCATTTAACTGAGTCTAATGAATAATAGACTCAACTATATTGCATTGTTTATGAATTAATGTGTTTAGTTTGAGAGGTACTACTAGGGAAATTTCCCTCAAGGATGGATATTGATATGTGGGGTTTTTTCCTCCTTTATAAATGAAAGGATGTGTTTGATGTGTTAATTGTGATTTGTTTTTAACTTAATATTCACAGTATCTTTATTAGGCAATTAGGATTTCCAGCCCCTTTGCACCATTGTTTACTTTTATGTAGAAGAAAAATTAGAATGTTGCACAATTGTCAGTGGTTCAGTTTGCACATGTGTTTTCTTGGAATGACCCCAATCTAGCGTGCTTGGGCTTAAAGTTTAATTAAAATTTGTTTTTTGTTTTTTTTCTCTCTGGCCCTTTTGAAATGYACATGATTGGAATCAGGGAAACCTATTAGAATAATGCTTTGTTATTAGAAGATGCCTAGAGAAAAGTAAGCATAATCTAACAAACTCAGGAGTTTACTTTTAGATTCAGTTCATTCTTAGGAATATTTATTAAATGGATAAAAGTTCATTACCAGCCTGCACAGTGGCATGTGCCTATAAGTAATCCCAGTGACTTGGAAGGCTGAGGCAGAAGGAACCCAACYTTGAGGCCAGCCTAAGCAATTTAGCCAGACCCTGTCTCAAAAAATCAAAAGGGCAAGGCACAGTGGCACACACTGCACTGTAATCCCAGCAGTTTGGGAGGTTGAGACAGGAGGGTAACAAGTTCAAAGCCAGACTCAGAAATTTAGTGAGACCCTGAGCAACTTAGAGAGACCTTGTCTCAAAAAATAAAAGGACTAAGGATGCAGCTCAGTAGTAGAGCACCTCTAGGTACAATCTTCAATCCAAAAAGAAAAGAAAAAAATGTTCATTATGATACTTTGCACTGTATGCCAGATCCCAAGCATCTACCATGTGCGAGACAGTGGGGCTATGGCAGGGAACAGGATTGATCAGGTCTTTTTACAGCTCAATTTCACATTCTCTTGAAGGGAACAGACAATAAACACAATTTTTTTAAAAATATAGTTTTAGTTGTAGATGGACACAGTACCTTTATTATTTATATGTGGTGCTGAGGATTGAACCCAGTGCCTCACAAGTGCTAGGCAAGCACTCTACCACTGAGCTACAAAGCCAGCCCACCAATTTTTTTTTTTTTTTTAAGAAAATCCAGATAGGGTTAAATGCTTAGAAGAAAATAAGAAGTATGTGATAGAAAACAAGGGCTGGGGAAACTTACTTGAGATAAAGGGTCAGGTAAGGATTCTTCTAAGTGACATTTTGCTCATGTCTAAAATTTGAGAAGCCAGCCTTTCCAAGAACTCATTAGTGGAATAGCAAGTGCAGACTCCTCAAGGAAGGGAAAGAATGGGATTGGGAAAGGGGTAGCAAATGAAATGAGGGCTTGTGTATATATACCTGAGTRAGACACTTGGTAGATTTTCTTAAAAAATGGTAATATTGCTGTCTTTACAGCTATCATTGTCCTTGTACTTTTTTTTGCATTCACTAACTTTTCTCTAATGAACATCTATTACTTTTGCAATTAGAAAAATTTCATATAGCTGAGCATAGTGKTGCCGACCTGTAATCCCACCTGGGATTACACCTGTAATTCCAGACACCTGGGAGGTTGAAGCAGAAGGATTGTGATTTTGAGGCTATTCTGGGCAATTTAGCAAGACCCTATCTCAAAATAAAAAATAATAATAATAAAAAAGAGGGGGCATTGCTGGGGATGTAACTCAGTGGTAGAGCACTTTGGGGTTAATTTCCAGTAATAAAATAAAGGAAAAGTTTTATATATTTTTAAAGGAATTAAATTTGATTTCTTTTTTCAGAAAATAGCCAGCATTTTTGCATCCTAGGAAAGAATTTCAGGTTATTTTGGCTTAAATAATTGTAACATTGCACTCTGTTAATTTTTTCTCTGAACAGATTATTTCTTGCCTCTGTATTTTCTAGTGCTCAGCATATTTTTGATGCAAAATAAAAAGGTATATATTTGCCTAAATGACAAGTTATTCGTTATTAATACTTGTTAATAACTTATCATATTTCAGATTTTTAAAATATTTTGTTTTAGTTGTAGTTGGATGCAATACCCTTATTTTATTTCACTGTAGTGCTAAGGATCAAACCCAGCGCCCTGCACGTGCTAGGCGAGTGCTCTACCGCTGAGCCACAACCCCAGCCTCCTTGTATTTCAGATTTTGAGAGTGAAAATCTTCTTAGTCTTTCTGTGCAAAGACTGTTGTGATGCCGCTTCAATATTTGTATCAGGCTCACTGGCTGCAATAAATTAAAGCCAAATCTCAAGCAGCTGTGTTTATAAGGACTCCCTCGATTAAGAGCACAGTGGCCATGCAGCACACTCCCTCCTATCTTGTGGCCAAGAACATGAGCTTTGGAGTCCTATTTGAATTTTCCTCCACTACTTAACCAGCCTGGGACTTTGGACAAGTTATTGCTCTCCCTAAGCCTTAGTTTCCTCACTTGTTAAATGGAGATATAAAGACCTTAAAAGCACCTCAACTTCTGGGGGAACTCATAAAGATTACATGAACTGGTGCCTGGGAGCAGTTACTGTTGATCTCACCACATGCTGACCCTGGAGGTAGACACCTGCCCACACTGACTGCAGTAGTAAGGAGTGCACAGATTGACAAGCAGGGCTGCCCAGCTTGTTTTATATCTTCAGTACAATATGACTTGCCAAAAGAAAAGCGCACAAGTTATAAGATGAATTATCAGAGTGAACACACCTGTAGCCCATCTAGGTCTAGAAATAGAGCGTGGCCAGTGCCCCAGAAAGTCCCCTTATCCTCTCCCAGTTATATTTTCTCCCTCTCTCTGAAGAGTGCCTGAATTCTAGCACTGTGGTTTTCTTGCTTTTCAACTTTGTATGAACGGAATCTACTCTTTAACCAGGTGTTCTGCCTTCTTTCACTCAACATTATGGTTGAGATTCTCCATAGTACCATGCAAGTTGGTAGTTTGTTCATTATGGATAATATGGCATATTTATCTCTTCTATTATGGGTGGGTATTTGGGCTGTTTCCGTTGTTGGGGCTGTCCTGAATCGTGGACTAATTATTATTAACTCTCTTGTACATTTTTGTTTTAGCCCAAGGACCTAGATCAGCACTCAGGAAAAACAACTTAGAAATATCAAATGTTCCCCATTTTTTTTTAAGTACTTGCAAGTTGAGGCACCATAATCATCAAACATAAAACCACCTGGAGTGCCAGATGGGATTTTTCTCCAAACACTTTCTCCTTCCTTGAATTTGATCCCCACTTTAGTGGAGGTTCCACTTCAAAATTGCAACCTTCTGAGCTAACTGATGCACTTGTATTTTGCACTAACAAGGGCAAGACTGCAAAGATCAGGAGAAAGAGGCAAAAAGCTAATTTACATAATAGAGCAGCAGGAGAAAAAGCCCAGATAGTAACATCCCAGGGAGAACACAGTGCTACCATTCTAAGAAAGGAAGCAGCCTTGTGTCTTCTGCATTGTAGGGTTTTATGATCTAGTTGGGATCCTCCCACCATGAATTTTTCATTTGGGGTGGTTAACATGGCTTTCTGCTATGGCTTAGTGCCTCAGTTCTCTGTGCATACTCCTAAATAGGAAAGTTCCATTTCTTTTTAGTTTTAAGAAGGTAGTATCTAGGGCTGGGGATATAGTTCAGTGGTAGAACACTTATCTAGTGTGCATGAGGCCCTGGTTTCCATATCTAGCCCTGAAAAAAAAGTACCTATGACAGTGGTGGTTATGGGTGGAGTTTTTCATCCCACAAAGTGCAGTGATCTTATCACTCAAGATGGAGTGAGCCCTATTCTCCCTTCTCCCATCACCCTACTCACATCTGTCTACCTACTGTAACATTTTTTGTATGTTTTTGTATGTGTGTGTATTGTACATTGTGCCTACATGGTACCAAATTAGCTTACACATAAATAAGCGCTCAAAAATTTAAAGGACATAAATTCATATGACTTTGAGTTCAAATAACTTATGTAAATCCTTAAAAATAATTTAAACTTGTTAGATAAAAGTAAAGATATCTTTGGAATAATGAACACAATTTTTTTTTTTTTTTTTTTTTTTTTTTTTACCTAGGTTACTCACCAATCAGGACTATATTTGCCTCTGTTAAAATGTTTGAAATACAGCATCCATTGCTTTCAGGGTTTTTCTTTGGCAAATACTACTACTAATAATATTAATAATTTAAAATGTTAACTGTGTTTGATACCCTGGTTTTCTTGGGTAATCTAAAAATAACTATTGAAGTGGGTAAATTAGATAGACATAAATGGAATAAACATTTTTAAATGTATGTGTTAGGAAAAACATCTCAGTCATTTGTAAGTGAAAATGTTGAAACATCAGGGACTAGGGTTGTAGCTCAGAGATAGAGTGCTCGTAGCATGCATGAGGCACTGGGTTCAATCCTCAGTACTACATAAAAATAAAATAAAGGTATTGTGTCCACCTAAAACTAAAAAAAWAAATGTTTAAAAAAATATTGAAACATCAATTGCTAAGTCCAAGTATTCTTAAATTGTATAAGAATATTATATGTGTTTGGGTCTACTAATAATTGTATTTTTATGAATTATTGGTATTTGAAAAAATAAGTTTCTGCTCTTCACTAAAAAGCAAGATCACTAAAAGTTAAATTCTAATTAATATGTAATTCTGTATGCAAAGAACACAAAAAACCTTAATGTTTTMATTTAAATAAGCATAAAGTATTTTAAGTCATTGATAAAAGATTAGTTAGCTTAAATTCAGAAATTTTCTAAAGATTGTTTTAAATTTTAAACTTAAGGAAGAAAAAAGGCAGAATATAATCAACAAGTAATAATCAACAAGAAGAAAGAGAAAATTATTAGGATGTATTTTGGGGGAATTTTTTGGATGAGAA